AGGTTCATGCTCTACCCGCACTTTTTAATTTCATTTCTGCACTGTCCAGTAGCCAGAACACAAAAATTCCAAAACAGAAACCTAATACAAAAATGTTAATACAAAAAGTCATGAACAATTTAAAACTGAAGAACAGTCACAGGAAGATGCTGGTACCTGATAAAGCAGTTGATATTAAAACCCCATGATGTATCACCACTTAGAAGTGACTGAGCAGCAATTATCAGAACACTTGTTTACGCCAACTAACATGCAGATGAGGTCTCCCATACTCGCACCAGTCCAGAATGGCTCCCATCTTTAGACAGATGCTTCCGTTTTAGGTGAATAGAGCCATGCAATGAAGCTAATGGTCCCTTATTTCTTTTGTCTGCAGTAACTTGATGCCATGTATGGTACATTTTTCTCTCCCAAAATTCTCTCCAAAAATAGGCATTAAAAAAAAGAGGGTGTTAAGCGAATACTGAAACATGATCTTGAGCTCACATGCAGATTTTCACAGTAACACTCCCTCTTCGTTTAATCTGTAGCCTGGCATGATTGGGGATGTGTCTCGGCCAAATACTTAGCAAATTTTTATGTGTTGAACTCTAAGCATAAATGATAGAAGGACAACTTGCCAGAGGGTGGTGTGAGACGGTCCCTCACCAGGACAGCTGTCTGGGAACCGAATTCTGCTTCCTCAGCTCCAAAAGTTCAAGTAGGACGACTGCCAAATCAAATACTAAATGGTTTCTCCATAGATTTTTTTTCCTTCCTGTTTTGCTTTTTTGTTTTGCAAAAAGTTTAGTCCCTGACTAAACTGCATCATGACAGTGAAGCTGAAGTGGCCTCGGCAGCCGCTGTGGGAGGGGGGCGAACCTCACCGAAACAGACGCAAGCTTTCCAACATGCCTCGCACACTGCATCTCTCACATGCATTCATTTGTCAACAGCATTCCGTATCTTTTTGTCTTCCTAAATTGAAACAGCCTGAGGAAAGGCCGTGCCATTATCTTTATATATTTGCAAGTGTTCCAACAAAGTGTTTCCATAATGCAACATTCATCTCACATTAAGTGAGCTGAACTTTTCTCCCTCAGACTTTTCCACTCAAGTTCTTGTGCTTATTGGAAGGAAAAATTAACCCAGGTTACTAATTTTTCCTCCTCTTGGATGCATACCTGAATGTGGGGGGGGGGGGGGGGGGGGGGGGGGGGGGGGGGGGGGCGGTCAGAGAAGCTGCAAGCAGTGCAGGGACACCCAAGATGGAATGGTCAGAGCAGAGATACCAGACTCAAACGCATCCACCTCGCCAGGAACGAGGGTTGCATCAGCAGAAGAGAACGGCTGTCCCTGATGGGGATGCGGGCAGAGATCTAGCAATCCTAGCTTCCCACACAGTGGAAGAACTCATGATAGAGCGTACACTTTGAATGCAAAGGATCCCGAGTTCAGTTCCTGGCATCCCAAGTAGGACTGGAAAAACTGTCCCCACCTCAGGACAGCAGCTGCCAGTCAGTGTTGTCAGTACTGGGCTAGACGTTCCAAGGGTCTGCCTCACCTATTCACTGCTTAAATCTTAGGTAACACCCTAAAATGGTGGGGTTGTCCAAAATCATCCCAGTAGTGGCTCCAAGAGGAGACATAAAATTAAAAGCTTTCCATAAAGAAAACAGCCATTCCTTCTGGATAAATAAGCAAACATCTGGAATAGCATGGAAAAGGCCAGCCTCCAAAGCCAAATGAGGTTAAAAGGAGATTTGCATGGCAATGAACTGACAGTCGCTGGAACAGCTGCTATGAATGCTGTTGCACTGCTTATGTGCATTTTGGAAAACTCCCAAAAGATGAACATTTAATTACATCTAGTCTAAAAGTGCAGGCTGGGAGCGACGCTTGTCCAAAAACTCCTTTAGCCACATCGGGACAGCACCCTGTAGATTAGATTTATTGTCGTCTTACCACAGCTCACTTTCCCAAAGAAGTGTGTTTCCCTTTTTTTAACCCAAACAATTGTTTGTGGGTTTCTTGCATTTCTGTGCCGCGCAACGGCCAAGCGCTCGGGGCAGTGTACACTAATCAGTGCCATTACATACAACAGAGGGACATAAGAAGGGCTGTCCGAAGTCTGTCCGGTCCAGCTGCCCACAGGAACCCCCCAGGTAAAACCCGAGTGCCCAGCACGGCCCCTTCAGTGTTCCCCAGCCACTGGCATGTGTGAACATCCTGCTTCTGCTACTGGAGTTGGCCTGTGCCCGTACCCCCCATGTCGCAACCTCCTCCTCCAGATGTTTGCCTAATCTGCTTTTGAAGCGACATCTTGCCGTACGACCACCTTTAAAGCTGCCTGTATAGGTGGCCATCATCTTATGGAAGTAAATTCCATAATTTTACTAGGAAGTACTATGATGTGTGTAGAAGTGCTTCCTTTTGGGTATCCCAAGCACCACGAAAATCCGTTTCGTAGGATGACTCCTTCCATTATGAAGAGAGGGAACATGTCTTCCTCAGCATGCATAATTTTGTACACATCTGTCATGTCTCCCTTTACCCCTTTTCTCAGCTAAAGATAAAGTAATCTTTCTTAGATCAGTGTACTTGTCTTTTCTGTACCCTTTTCAGCTCTACCTTTTCAGGTGGCATGACCTAAATGTTTTATTTTGGAGCTATGGACAAATACCGAGATTTCTGTAAGGTTTTCATGGGGCTCTGCCAGGTCTTGCAAATTGACACTGTGCCCTAGGATGGATGGATGGATTGACTGATTGTGTGTGTGTGTGTGTGTGTGTGTGTCTGTCTGTCTTTCTTGCTTTCTTGCTTGCTTGCTTGCTTGCTTGCTTGCTTTCTTTCTTTCTTTCTTTCTTTCTTTCTTTCTTTCTTTCTTTCTTTCTTTCATAGACCAGCATAAGCCAATGGGGGCCTGCATAACAGTTTAATGAATGCTTTTCCATTACCCCAATTAAAATAACAGTTTGAAAGGGATCAAAAGACAAAAAGGCAAGTAACGGACACTAACAGTTGAGATAACTGAGGCCCCCCAACTGAAACACTTAATGCCTCAAACATGTACATAATGATAATACTAATGTTAATACTAATAAAACTTTTGCTGAAATTTGCTACAGTTTAAATTTATAAAATGTATAGATTTATAATAAAACACCATGGTTTTAATGCATAACTACATATCATGGTTTTAATTTCTGGTTGTGAGCTGCCTGGAGATGCTATGGCACAACCAGTGGCATACAAATGTTTTAAATAAATAAATAACAAAAAAAAGGTGAGATTTTTCTGAACCTGAGCCTTGCCCTGCAGAAACTGGTTACTTGGTACATGGTCTTAGCATCTTTATCTGATAGAAAAAACTCAAGTTCAGCTTTTTTGGAAAGAATCAGATTATCCTGAAAGAGCAGGAGGATGACTTCAACGTCCTAGAACTTCTTTTCAAATGCCGTTGTCATTCTTGTCCTGGAGCGGGACCGCAACACAGCCAAACACGCACAGTTTAGCCAAGAGTGTTTCTGCTTCTGGCTCAGATTCCCTGGAGTCCTTGCTCAAAAGCACATCAGAAGGGCTCCCTGGGTTTTTCTTTGCCTGGGAGAAATCGATTTTACTTGCCCACCTGTAACGAAAAACGTTGCCTTACAGCAGAATCCCACGCTCATTTACTTAGAACCAGGTAAGCATGCCAAGAATTGGACATTATGGAACTTACTACTGAGTAGATATGTATTTAATTATACTAAAAGAGGGGCATTAATTGATTCCACTGTTATGCATACCTGTTTCATGATTTTATTTTGTAAGCTGTCTTACGGTTGTTGTTTTTCACCTTTAAAGGTGGCATTAAAATGTTTCCATAAAGAACTATAAATAGTTGCCTCTTATCCCACTGGGGATTCTACAGAGGGGCGATGGCAACTGAGAAGGAACAGAACGGGCTTGGGAGCTCTGGCCATGTTCAGGCGGCTGAAATGCCTGCTTGTTGCGAGGAAAAAGGCATTTCCTAGATGCGCCTTCCTCGGTCGGCACACATGGCAAGCTCGTGCTTTGGAGCTGGAATCGGAGCCAGCTCGTTCCAATGCATTCGTTGCCTTTTGTGTCTCCCTTCTCATCTTCGTTGCCTGTGCACTTCTGGCCATCCCCACGGTTAAAATAACTTTCATCTGAGCGTGCCAGTTTGCAGCCCACTTCGAGGGGGCCATAAAGCAGGCGTCTTAATCCAGTGGGGTAGAGACTTGCGTCAGGCATGTGGACGCCAGAAACTCTCTGGCTGCTGCTTGCTTGTTTGGCAAACCACATGCAGCCCTCACACCCTCCAAGACGAGCCCTTGTTCCACACGTATGCAGGAGCTACCCAGAGTTCTCTCTCTCTCAGCAATGTGCAGCCTTTTTGTTGTCCAGCTAACACTGCTGCTTGATCCTGGGTCCTAGGGATGGATGACAACAAAGAACTGCAAAAGGGGGAGCCCCGGCAGGGCAAAATAGCGGCAGCCGAGGAGAGCGGGCCATCCTTGTGATGTGCGAAGCCCCGTTAGGCAGGCACTTGAGACCGGAGTGGAGAAGGTCCAGGATCACCACTCCCACCCCATCGTGGGTGAGAAGGCCCAGCCCATTCGCCTAGCAGGCATCCGCTTTATATCCCGCTTGCCTGGTGCCAGGAAACACCGTTTGGGAGACTGGGTTGACCGATTACCACTTCCCAGGGTGCAGGCAAGGTGAGCCAGCGCACAGGAAGGGCTGTCTATCGTTCAAGCCTTACCCAACATTAATGGCTTTGCCTTTGTCAGTGTTTCCTCTGGGATTTTTTCTGACAGTGTGAAAAAAATGGTTGGGTTTCACATGACAGGGTCTTAATACTTCCAGCACACATAACCTGAATCCAAAACATGCTAAAACTGCATAAGCTAAGCTCGATTTCCTGCTTTCGGCTGATAACCTAAAATAACAAGTTTATCCCATTGCTTCCCGATAAGCCGCTGAACTCCTGACATGTTACAATTTCTGTCTTCCAGATTATCCCTAAGAATTGAGCCAGGAAACAGCTCACCACGACTGGTATCGTCAAAGGAAGATCTTGCAGGTATGAAAAAGTTTATTGGCGAACTTAACGCTCTACGCCATTGCAGCACTTAATCCCGCGTTTTCACCAGCATTTGCTGTGTGAGGGCCTTTCTCCAGAGGCTCTCCACCATCTCTCTGTAGACACCACCCACACTCTTGCTCATTGGGTTTCTTTCAGCAACATACCCCCCAGCCTGAGAAACGATTTCTCATTTGTAGCTAAGGGTCAGAAGCCACAGTATCCATGGGGACTTGATGAAATATCTGGGGCAACTTGTCGCAATGCTAGTGTGCTGGAGGTCTGTTTTTCAGAAAGGCTCACTGCATTATCGCAGTATAGATCAATTGAGAAGCGTGATAATTGACTGAGGCACACTTAGATAGAGAGATGGGTGGATCACTTGATCCCCGGGATGACTGGGTGCGTGCGCACAACAGTCGACAACCAAAGAGGTGAGATTTTTTTTTAACATCCATGTGATAATTGCTTGAGAACGGATTTTCATTTTCCAACATGAAGTCTGGCGATGTCATTTAGGCAGTTGGTGTGGACATTCAACAGCAGACTTCTGGCTTTTCAGGCGTTTGCATTTCTGCTTTTTCAGTATTCACATTTGTGTGGGATCATCAGCATTCTCTGGTTATTTGTAGGGTAATTTTAAATGTTCACCAGCCGGCCGTCTTGGTGTTGTGGCAGTTTTTATGATATGGTCCATTACGGCCAAATGTATACAAAATACATGAATTATTCATTTTATACATTCATAATTATGGGCTTTATACAGATAACCTCATAATATCGATAATGTAATCAAAATGTAGCTGCCTCTTCTTAACAAGTCAGCTTTCCTTAGGGGACACATGCGTGTGTCAGAATCCTCTATTTGTAAACAGGCATGCTGGCAAACGGTTCAAGATTTGGGTAGATCTTTGTGTGTTGTGCTGGTGGGGTCGGAATGGGAGGGGAAGTATAGAATCTATACCTGCAGGAATATCATCAGTGGCGTTACAGGTGACCCATTTTACATATTTATAGTGTCATTTCCTAGCAACTGGTGATTTAACAAAACATGGACCTTTGATTTGAAATGAGCTACACCGTCTCATTCACCGTTAGCTCAAGAAGGAAGAGCACATACCTGCTGCGTGTCCTTCATCATTAATCGCTAGCATAAGAGAAATCAGCGTTTGTCTTTCAGTTTTCTTTCAGTGCTTTCCCAGGCCACAGGCTTGCATGACTCATCTACCCCAAAATTACTAACGCTACACTCATGGATAGAGGTTTCGTCGGATATCAGTGAACAGCAGTTCTCCGTTCAAATTTAACCCTCAACTTTAAGAAACCAGAGGGATCATACAGGACATGTTTGCCATATTCTGCTTAGTTGAAGTGCCTCTAGCTATTCCTAAAACCAGTCGATCAGCATTGACTGGGGTCCAGATCCAGGTGCTGTTCTTGTTTCTCAAAGACCGACTAGGCTCACTTGCTAAGCTGCCTGAGAACAACTCTGGTCCCAGACTGTCTTCATGGGGCAATTTGCCGATTCCCTGTGTGCTCTTCTTGGCATCCACCAACGACAGTATTACTGCAAGTTACTCTGCATGATAGGATAACTTTTTGAAAAGCATCTCTGCATGAATCTTCCAAATCAGGGACTTCCAGCAGAATTCTAGATTCAGAAGGTACCAAAGTCCACCTACTCTGGCATCTTGCTGCGAGTCGAGTCAAGTCGTTCGTCCCCATTTCCGCAGGTCGTCTCCTGCAGTCTTTCCCTCGCTGTGCTGCAAGGAGAGAGCTGCTGGGCCTGGTGGATTTGTAATGCACATGCAGAGGGAAAGGGGATGTGTGTGCAGTGGGCAGGAAAGCAGCAACCCTAAGAAAGATCTCCTCTGAGAATCTAATGTGTATGTCTAGAGATGTTGGCTTACCTACAGTGAAAGCCCCCTCTTTGTATAATACGAGGTTTTTTATATCGATTTGCAGGCACCAGCAAGGCATCCCCACCCAGTGGGCTTTCAGCCTGCCAGCTTACTGAGCAACTCGAGTGGCTTGGAAGAAGCAAAACGAAGCAAAGCAAAAACAAGCCTTGAAATTATGCAGTTTTGCTCTCAAGCCCAGATAGCCAAAAGAGCCTTTATTCTTGACACCTGGGCCCAGTGCACCTCCTTTTGAGCACTCCAGCCAGACCTTTGATCCACCCCCTTCTCCCCACCCAGGTTTTATGTGCGTGTGTGCGTGCACGCGCACACACACACACACACACACACACACACACACACACAGAGGAAGCTGTGCAGCAAATCCCAAGTGTCTCCGGGCCCAGCCTGGACAGTTTGACAAAGGAGCCCAATTCGTCCGTTGGGCTCTCCACCTCCTCCGGCCTTAGTCACCACGCTGGAGACTGCCAGGGACTGTCCTCCTGGGTGGCATCGCTTCAAAGCTTCTTTGTCAGATGGTTTCCACTGTGCCTCCCATGGCCTGGAGATGGCTTTTTAAAAAACCCACAGGCTGGGTACATAAAGGTTCATGATGTTGCAAGGGAAAATAAATTCTTTCTCTAAGCTGTGGCAGCTTGATGACTTTGGGTTTTGACGCACATCCCTATTTTTTATCAGCACCTAGCAAGATATCAGAAAGTAAATCAGTCTCTTGACATGCCTGCATCATCTCATAAATATTCTTCTTTCACTGTGGGCCTGTCTAGACAACTCTTGCGTGGAAAAGCAGTGTTGCTCTGCTCAGTTTAGTTTGCAGTGCAGCTGTAGCCATGCCAACCTGCAAGTTTTCGTACTGTTGTAGCCCGTTCGGTAAACTCCGTTAAGTGAACTCCTGCACGATTGATACGTATTTCACAAAGGTTCGCTCATGCTAGGCAACGTGCCACCGGGCATGCCGCTTTCACCCGATACGTTTGGGCATGTCATACCATATCTTGCCACTGAAGCAGGATTCCGGCCGGGTTGCCATGGTGTGTTCTGACTGTGCCGTATTTACCTTCTGGGTCGACGTGGCTAAGCAAACGTCCACACCCGTGGGGTCTTCCACAGGCAGACTCGGAGTAAGACGCCCTCAGAGGCTGCTTCCAGGAAATGGCATGTAAAATACAGTAGATGATGTCTTCGGTTTCCTCCAGTGATGCTGATATTAGTAATTTCCATACTGTGTGACTCTGGGCTGCCCACAAGAGCTTCACTTGTAGTGGTAAAACATCTCTGCTACAGGGCGTGAAATCGCGCTATCCTGCAGAGCATATGAATATACAGGGGCAAGACTTCTCAGACTGCACACCATAGTGATGAGGTGGCCAGGACTCAATGCACATGGTAGGCTTGTCCTGAGTGGAGCTGGCTGGAGCCGGGGGTCAGACTAGATGGCCCAGGAGGCCCCTTCTGACTCACTCAGTTTCTGTGTTTCTAAATAGTCAACATTGCAAAGGCAAATCAAGGCTGTAGCTGCCGTTTCCTGTGATTCACTGTTTACTTTCCATAAAAGTCCTGTGACTAATTTTTTCTTTTGCCAAAATTGATTCTGTTGAAGTCTATGGAATGATTCAAATTCTATCCCACAGTAAGTGGCCTTTGGGTTGTAACCAGTTTATGTAACAAGGGAAATGCTAATTCTAAACAGTTTCATCTCAACCGTCCACCAGCAGTGGAAGAAAACCAGAAGCATCATAGGTTTCGAAGGGACAAAAATGCCCTGTGTCTGGGCACTGACGAAGGTTGTGACACGCATGCATCGGGTTTCTCTCCCAGAGGCTGTTATGTTGTGAGCCGTCTTTCATGACAGCAAGCCCCTGTGGTTGAAATCCAGAATTCCTAATGAATCTGGGGAGGAAATAACGGTTTTCTGCGGAGCTGCAGAGTTCGTTTTCCGTGCTTGCTCGTGAGCTTCCATTCATATTCCTGAGGGATGCCTGTATCCCGTTTCTGTGATGCTCGTGGAAAAGTGGAAAGCGCGCACCCAGGAGTTCTCATTTCCTAATTCACGAGTTTGCTTTGAAACATGAGAGGCCGTATGAGTATGTCCCTAAAGCAGACTAAACAAATCGGGACGTGCAAAATGGCATGGTAGCCATTATCCTAGAGTGGCGTTTTATTTATTTTTTCCTAAAACTGTTGATGCATTGGTTTTCCTTTTTTCCCATGTTGGCAGAGCTAAGCCCTTGCCCTGAGATGTTCGTGTGAGGCAGGGAAAAGCATCTCAGTTGATGGTCTGAGCAGGTTTGCCTTTTTAAAAAAATTAACGGAAGAGAAACTGTTTGAATATGCTTCTTGCGAGAAGAAAAGTTAACTTAAATTTTAAAAATCTGTCTGCCTCTGACTGCAACCTTTCTCTGTGCTTTTCTGTACACGGAGGCTGTTTTCAGATTGTGCTAATGACTTCACATCAGTACACAGCAAATCACCAGCGTTATACAAGAAATCTATTGTGGCACCTAAAGACTAATATACTTTGTGAACTAAAGTCTATGCACCAAGCCTATAGGGATGGCATACGTATAACACAGACACACAGAGGGAAAAATGCCTTGAATAAAAATTAGTTGTAACAGTTCTGCAACATTTATATATAAAACCCAAATGTATACAAAGGAAGGATGGAGTGGACTATTCACAAGCATTGTCACTGGTGAGGATAACTCACGTCAATACCCTTTGTGAGAGAGAAACCCACAATTCCAATTAAGTCCAAGTTAATTAAGTCTAAGTTCAGTAGAATAAAACTGGTTGAATTCTGTGTCAGCGATTTCATGCCAGAGCCCCCGGTTGAACTCTTTGTTGAAGCGTGGTGACTGTCGGGGCAACAGCAGACTGTCCCGGGAGAGTGAAACGTTCTCCCTCTGATTGCCATTTTTATGTCCGCTTGTGCTCACTTATATCTTCATAGCATGGAAGGGCAGTGCTGGCAAGAGGTGGTTTGTGTTACGTTGTCGACGGCGGAAATGAAGCAGCCTCTGGAGTTACTTGCATTGTAGGTAAGCTGGTAAGAATCCAGCCTGCCTTAGTGGATACGGG